GTTTATATGAATAGGTTGGTACTTCTTTTTCTTCAAATAAAAACACTGACACTAACCTATTCACTATCTGCCTTTAATTCTCAACAGTTTTTTCAATAAATAGCTCCGTATAAGATTCTATCCGAATAAATTAATTTTCGCTTGTCTTTAGTTCGTAATTATAAAACCTCAAAACCTGTAACTCGACTCATGAGGGCCGAATGTACCCATTGTGTGGATAACGCATTATTTCACTGAAACAGCGTAATTCCTTTCCCAATAAATTTTATCAGAGTACGAAGTTATTTACTGAATAATAAATTTTTTATCGGATAGTTCCATGGCAACACGGTACCTCAAGTTCGTGTATTTTCCGTTTTCCTGCCCGTTTCAATCGTTTAAATTTTAAACCGGAAACAGAAATCGAGACGAAGGAAGTGCCGTTTACGTCGTTTTTGTGCGAACCGAAGCCACCTGATATATGTCCATGCGAGAGTGTAAGTTTACCCCCGGGACCGTAATCGGTCTCATTTTTAACCCGCAAACCGGCCGCCTTGATCCTACTTATAAACTCAAATATATACCCCCGGGAGGACGGTGGCGGTGGCACCTCTGAAAGAGAAGATCTCCAAATCCGGAAATAAATTATGTCGCTCCACGTCCAATACGCCACATTGAACTTTAACCGAAATTAAGATGAAGGGTGCCGACGATCTTGATGAAATTGAGATAAAGCGTTGCCGTGCCACTGAAATTTTCAAATGAATTCTGTAAAAAATTGATGTCACTGTTGTGCCGGATTACAACTCCGAAAAAGAACCCTCGACACTCTCAGATGTCTCTTCAAGTAGTCCAAAAAAGTGGAAGAAAGCCTACATTTTTTATCCATTCGAATATAGTTCGAAACAAGATATACAGCCTAAGTACTGTGTAAATAAAAATTAAGAATTTTATAAAAATCCATATCTAGTGCTTAAAAAACAGAATAGGGACATGATTTAACCTATTATAAAACTTATAATTTTTCAATTTTATGAAAAATTATTGGGTTATTTATAATAATTAAAGCACAACACGTTCTTTTTTGTAAACTGATGATAACCTTATATTATATCGTAATTATTACAGACATTGTGACTTAATGATTATTTTAACTTGTAGTTAGGGGTGAAATGGATGTGCTTTAGCGGATGTGAATGATGATGTGAACATTAGTGAGGTTATGAAATTGTAGATTTTTGGATGCTGATGAGGATGCGGCTGAGAATATGGATGAAATAATGTTAACCGTTCCTCAACATAAATATCGTATTTGTTGGTGTAACTTTGTGGCACAACAAATATCTGCTAAATATCTTCATCAGAATGTACGAATCCAGATGGGGATGCGGATTTTAAACAATTTAACTTTGCGGATATGGACCAGAGTGCATTAAACTTACTAATGGTTCATCCACAGTTACGGATGCGTATCTGTTACAACCTTACGTGTAATTACAAGTATTAATCGGTTTTTAATAATAGGTGAATGCGCTGGACACGATTATACACTACTTTCTATGATCATTATACATTATCGGCAAAGCTGGGTTTCAAGCTAACCAATTGTTTTTCCTGGAAAACTCAACTAATACTTTTTGGTTATTAGACCAATTGTTATAAATATGTCAAGAGCAAGGCATACCTCAATCGAAACTAACTTATAAATTACTTATATATATTATTAGATCTTTGAACTGAAGTTTAAGTTCAACCTGTCTAGTGAAGATTTATGAGAAATATATATTCAGACTCTTGTTTGAAATCATCAAACTAAACACTTGGTGACATTTTTTAAAATAGAGTTTACTTCACTATTATTGTCATAATATAGTAGTTTGATGATTTTTTTATCCTTCGGTATTTCGTTAGTGGTACAAAACAAAAACTTGTTTTGTGACCAAAAAAGAAGTCGTTTTTTGTTTCATTTTTATACAGTTGCAAATTACCACTGCAATAAAAATCTATATTAATTATATTTGGCTATTAAAGTCACTGGTCTGTAAATTATTCAACCAGCCATACATCCAAACATAGACATTTAAACCCATCTAGTTTTTTCCAATTGTTAAGTATATTTTAATCAGCAAGTTCCAAAATATCGTATTATAAGAGAAGATAACGGCACCTATTGCAATAAAGGGTGAAAACGTTTTTTTTAACTATTCATTTCCTAATAGCTTTTAAATCGTTTAATAAAGTTGGATAAACTTGTTCAAAGTCATTAAAAATTTAAATCGATCGCCTTCAGTAAATACCAGAATATATTTTACCAAAAAATGGAATATTTAATTGCTAACTGATTAATAGACAAACAAACCTACAGTAGAACATTATTGTATATATTTCCAATACTTTTCACATATTCTACTGTAAGATATACCTGCACTCTTCAGAAAAACCCTCCTTATAAGTTCGTGTCACGGGTATTTTAGTTCGCAAAGCTTCAAAGCACTGCAACCCTCTTCCAATACGATACGCAATCATTTTCCAAGGCAGTTTTCGTTCCTCTCTCCAACAAACCATTACAGTTCCGTCTCGTTCGGTAACGTGCCTTATATAGTACATTTAGATTACATACATAGGTTTATACACATAGGTGTATATACATATACGGGGCAATGGCGTGACTATAAAGTCTCACGATGACGCCGATGCCAACGCTAGTTGTTTGCCCTCAGTTATTAGCAAGGCTCCATAAAATTAAATTAGATTAGCTCGCGGCTTGCCAGGAACAGGAGAATAGCACCACGGCCAACAGACCTACCAACCCACACGTGCAATATTCCGTTACTCTTCATACCACCCCTTCCGTATATAAATTAAGATTCTATACAGGGGCGACTCGTAGGTGTGTGGTACGAGAAGGCAACAATGATGCCGAACGCCCAGCATTCCAGAGGGTGTACCCATCTATTATAACTACTGACGTAACTAAATTTCTGTACAAAAGTCCTGTCAGAATAGATAAAAAATTAATGATATACAGGGGCAAAATATTAGTATGCTTATATTTGCAGATGATGTAGAAATATTAGCATCTAGCAAGGAGGATTTTAGGTATCTGGGAAGTCAGATAAGTCAGGACGGAAGGATTAGTAGGGATATAAAGCATAGGATAGCATAGGGTCGAGTAGACTTCAATAATAAAAAAGAACTTACTTCTATGCTCGCGAACAGTTAATTTAGAAATTCGAAAAAGATTATTAAAGGTGTATGTTTGGAACGCGACGCTGTACGGGTGCGAAACATGGACGGTGGGCGGTGCGGAAAAGAAAAGGTTACAAATGTGATGTTCAGGGGCGCAACAAGGGGGGGTCCACGGGTGCCCGGGCACCCAATCGATTGAGTTGGGCACCCAGTCGATTCCAGTCGATTTAGATAATAACCCAACTTGAAAGTTCGGTTCAAATAGTTCAAGCTTGAAAATGACAAGCTCGTAAATGAGCAGCCGAACCCGATCTTTTCAATACAATACATTGGTGACCTTTTTTTTAGTCATTTATAGTATTATGATGGGAGATCCAGTCAAACTGTAACGTTATTGCGCCCCTGGTGGTGTTACAGGCGAATGATAAGGATTCCGTGGATAAAGAACGTTAGAAATGAAGAGGTATTAGAAAGAATAGGTGAACAGAGGACTCTGGCCAATAAAAAATAGGCGAGATAGATTGGTAGGACATCTTCTCAAGCATAAAGGGCTAGTCGGAGAGATATTAAAGGCAGAAACAGGAATTAAGAAGAATAGAAGTAGACCTAGATTAGATTACTGTTCACAAATATTTAAAGATATGGGATATTCTAGTTTTAGGGAAATGCGAAGATTATCTTAGGATAGGAAAGAGTGGAGGTGCGTATCCAAGCAGTCTTGGAACTAACCACCCTATGATACATACAGTAAGTGTAGGTTATGAAGACGAAAATATGAAGATTGGAGCAAGCATGAATTAATAAAATGTTGCTGTGGAAAAAGATACAGGGTGCTAAAGGTTATTATTTTCGTTTTCTGGTAAATTATTATCAAAATGGACAATGGATGTATAACATTAGACAAGAAACATTAACTTAAATTGACTTGTCTGTATGGCCTCGTCCTACCCGTATGCTTTTTCTAGTTCTTCCATTATTTCTAACCTAGAGACCGCCTACAAAAGAAGATTTCAGGATCAGGACCGGAGTTGGTAGGTTATTGTTTCGGGAAGTTCGGGGAAATACTTCACGTGGGTACATGATACTGTCTGCAACAGATTTTATTTTCCTGTGAGTTGTGAATATTTACGAAAATCTAGGTGTGATAGAACCACACAGCCTTTCTCAAGTCGTAGAGTTGATATGCAAAAATCGATGTCGACGTGTAGACATCCTTTATCCTCTAAAAGACGCTAGGTCGTCCTTGAGATGTGATAACCTTAAAGTTTATCTAATTTAAAGGGTTTTGTTGCAAAATAAATGCACACATTGCATGATAAACGAGCAATTCCGAGTATGCAGCGAATGTGGGCCCTACGAAGTAATAAATACAAAGACCAGGTTTTAAGAGGCGAAAGCATACTAGATTCCACAAGCTAAAAGTTGAGGCAAAATATTAAGGTCTCCTCCTTACCTTTTTCAAGCAATACCATCAATAATAATATAAATAAAGTAACTAATAAAGCAGTATAAAACATATAGTTTTGAGAATCGAAACAGGAATTTTTGGTCAATATGATTATTGAAAATAAAACAATGTTTTCTGTTTATTCAACATAGGTATCATCTTTTTCCATTGATAAAATTGTTGTTCTACCTTTTTTTTATGATTAAAATGTACGTTACCCCACATCTTCTAAAATTAGAATATCGAAAACCCCCTGATTCAATTATGTACCTACCCATTTACTCACCAAACAAAAATAGTTTTTTAAGTAAATTTTGTTAAATTCAGGTTGAAATGTCAGTTTAAGTGAATTCAATTTGATCATAATGTCAAACACAAATTTCAGTTCATTTGAAAACATGTCATTAATTTAATATGATCTTACAGCAATAATAATAAAATTCGAATGTTTCCTAAAACCGTTCACCTTTCTCTAAGTTTAAGGGGTAAGTTATACATAATATTTATGCCCAGTAAAATAAAAATGCTAAATTCAGTTATTTGGTAATACTATAGAGTCGAGAGGTGATTCATAACAGCATGATACTTATAGGAAACTTTTTAAATTAATTAATATAAGTAATAAAAGAATGTAATAATCATTTACATTACAGAAATTCAATAGATTTGGATATAGCATTGCGTTTATAACAGAAATTGTTCGTTTAAAATAAAAAACCTTTTATTTATTTGTATAAAAAATGTTGAGTCTCTCAGAGTCTCTGAAAGCCAGACTCGAGTTTCCGTCTCTCATCGAGTCTCTCTCAGGTTTAGTATCTCTGAACGAGAGACTCGAATCTCTCAATAAGTGGTGTCTCGATAGAAATGGTTAACATTTTCAAAGATCCCAGTCTATCTACGAGAGACTCGAGTCTCTCAATTTTTCAGTTTTATTCATTCAGTCTCTCTGTGAGAGACCCAAATCTCTGAATTAACAACTTTATCGTTCGAGTGTCTTATACAGAGACTGTGAGAGATCCATAAAAACACCTAGGCAATAACTGAGAGACTGTGAAAGACTGTGAGAGACGCTCTCAGCGACGCTGAAAGACTGTGAGAAACGCTCTCAGAGACGCTGAAAGACTCTGGGAGACTGAGGAGAGACTGAAAATTTTTGTCTAGGGGATATAAAGCAAGAAGTGAAAAGTAAGTTTAGAACTAAAAAGAATTAAATTTTAAAATATCCATCGTGATAAAAACTGACACAGCATTGGTTTTTCTTCTCCGTTTTAGAAGTCCTTTTTTCTTGAGTTTGCTGCACTCCTCTCTATTTTCGAACTTAGGAGCGCTCGCTGCTTATTCTACCTGCAAAACGTCATCTGAAAAACATGATGTTTAATTAATTTAAAGTGACGCCAGGCACTCACTGACTTTAAGAGATAATTAACCCCCGACATTCAGTCTCGTACAACTAGCTATCTCACTTTTAAGAAAGTTGGAAAAGCTGCTGGTTGCATTGTTAACATAGCGAAAACGGAAAACGGCACGACACGACAAGACACGACGCGAACATCGGCCGCAATCGAGCAAATGGCATAGAAAAAGATGCGCTGCTGTTTTTGGTCCACCCCACAACACACATCCGTTCACCCACACAACCCCATCAAACACATGCCTATGTAATATAGGTTCATACGTGTACGTAGGTAAGTACAATACATCCATTTACATACATATCTATAATATGCATATGTATCTATATCAACGGTTGGGTACCGTGAATTGTCGGGAGAACATTTTGCTCGGGGATAAGGAGACGACTACTCGACTAGACTCAACTCGACGCACATGGAACGAGTGGATCGTCGGAGACAAAAGGCAGAACGCTCAAAATAATTAACGTGCCCAACAATGCCTGAAAAGGAGACAAAAAGACAATTAATCAGCACAATGAAAATATAACATGACTGACTGTGATGCGGTTGCATCGCTGTCGACGGAATGGACGGATCGGACGGGCAACAACAGGAGAAAATGAGCGAGCAAGTGAGTGAGTGGATGATGACGACTGACTCGAATGTTTGTTCCGCTTTCCATCGTTGCACCACCATCATCATCCTCATCACTGGAAAGCGCATTCAAATTAAAAAGATGGCCGTACGAACAGCAGGAGAAGTGAGGTATAATTATAAAAAAAGCACCAGCAGTTTCGGTTGAAATGAATCGCCGACGACTAAACGAAACCATGATTTGCCCCGCAATCGTTTTAATATCGTCTAAAGAATTAGCCGGAAATCGTCTACGGGGTGTTATTCCTAGACAAAAATTTTCAGTCTTTCTCCAGTCTCTCAGAATCTTTCAGCGTCTTTGAGAGCGTCTCTCACAGTCTCTTAATTATTGTCTAGGTGTTTTTATGGATCTCTCACAGTCTCTGTATGAGAGACTCGAACGATAAAATTGTTAATTCAGAGATTCGAGTCTCTCACAGAGAGACTGAATTAATAAAACTAAAAAATTGAGAGACTCGAGTCTCTCGTAGAAAGACTGGGATCTCTTAAATATGTTGAACTTTAACCATGTCTACCGAGAAACCACTTATTGAGAGATTCGAGACTCTCGTTCAGAGATTCGAGTCTCTCATTCAGAGATTCGAGTCTCTCGTTCAGAGACTGGATACGAAATGAGGATCTATCTATGGGCGACTCGAGTCTCTCGTTCAGAGACGCTAAACAGTTTTTTGGCAGTCTCTCACACTATTTCAGAGTCTATCAGCGTCTCCGAAAGCGTCTCTCACAATCTTTCACAGTCTCTCAGTTATTGCCTAGGCGTTTTTATGGATCTCTCACAGTCTCTGTATGAGAGACTCGAACGATAAAATTGTTAATTCAGAGATTCGAGTCTCTCACCAGAGAGACTGAATTAATAAAATTGAAAAATTGAGAGACTCGAGTCTCTCGTAGAAAGACTGGGATCTCTGAAATATGTTGAACTTTAACCATGTCCATCGAGACACCACTTATTAAGAGATTCGAGTCTCTCGTTCAAATATTCGAGTCTCACATTCAGAGATTCCAGTCTCTCGTTCAGAGACTGGATAGGAAATGAGGATCTCTCTATGAGCGACTCGAGTCTCTCGTTCAGAGACGCTAAACAGGTTTTTTGGCAGTCTCTCTCCAGTCTCTCTCAGCGACACCAGAGAGACTCGATGAGAGACGGAGACTGGGGTCTCGTTTTCAGATACTCTGAGAGACTTAACATTTTTATCTCGGGACGTCCTCGATCCCTCGTACATTAAACACAGTTGTCTGCTCACAGCATTAGTACGATGCGACAGTAATAGGTCGGGGTGGTTCACGCAAGAGGTGCACAATTTCAAGATTAGTAGCCGTAATTGCCAATTTTTCACCGAAAATTTTAAATATTGTCACTTTACACTTTGTCGTGAACAAACTAAAGCACCTGCTCAGTTGTTAGGAATTATGTATCACTGACGGCGCTTTCCCCACTTCCAATGTAACGTTAAGGACTGAACAGATCAATGATTAACCTCTGCTTGTCCCAGCTGCATCGAACAACGACCGAAGGGCTCGCAAACTATGAATACTGTTAAAATTCACATTATAAAATGTTTAAACAAAACTTGTAATTAAATTACCTCCTATGAAATAATTCAGGTATATTATTTGTTCTATACAGTTCTCGACGTTAAGCAGATATCTATAGCCTTATGTGATATTATAAGGACAAGTTTTTTTAATAGATTAGCGTGCCTGACCGAACTTGTTTTTAAGAAATACGTTTAAGTGTAACGTTAAAATATATTTTTATATAGTCTTGAATTATTACTCGAAATAAGAGGACATAAAGTATAACTCCCGGAAAACTCACCCAATAACCTAAATGCGCAAAACCCTAATATATTATAATACCTGCAGTAAAACCAAAAACGTAAATATAGAAAAGGGGCTAAATTCGCCGAAAAAAGAATGAAAATAAGGATGGGTGTCAATGGTAGCCACTGACGAAGTTGACAGATAAATCGACTAGTTCTTTTTAACAAACCTAGTTCCTTTTTCACATTTATGTTTTTGATGGTATATCAGTACCATTTGAAACATTATTACTCTCTAATTAAATGCATTATTTACGTAATATTTCTTGCGTTTATGAAGCATTCTACAAAGGTTGTAGTTTACTAATATTTTTTTATCGACTTATCGCATACTCAAAATTCGGGCATCAATATTTCGAGAATGTTTTATAAAAATTGAGATTATAGATAATAGACAAGCAAAATACAACTGTGCAAGGCAAATATATTTTGAATGAAGTCGAGAATAGCTTGAAATGATTCGTGTAATGTACCACACGGTCAGTGCACCGTTTTTTCAAACAGGGCGTTCAAAGTGACCTAACCACTTTTCCCTGAATCGTCGTGTGTCCACGCAATGATACCGACAGGCAGACCGAAGTTTCTAGGTTTTCCACATGGAGAATTTTCCAGATTAGTTAATATTGCTACCAAAACTGTCACATATGCATTCATATTAGGACTAGCAAATTACAGTAACCAACAAAAACATTGAAAATAAATCTATGTCGCCTTCACCTTCCTATTTCCGTCTATTCCAGATTACAGTAGAATTTAATTATAATTTTCCTTAATAGTATGTCTAATAAATAATCTTTGAAAACATTGCAGAGTATCTTACAAATCCAGCATATTTTTGTTTCAATTATTTACATAATTATGATTATGAGGCCAAATTACATATGTTAGTCCTTTAAATCAACTAGATCATATTATCCTTGCATAAATTACTCTTGGGTTGATTCCCTTGACAAACACATTTATAGAAAGCATATAGTATTTTATGGGTTATTATACCTGTTTTGTGTTCCAAAGTAAACAGTAGTCATCAAACACTAATATGCTGTTTAATCACAAATTTTATTTCATAAAAAGAAACAAAAGCAGAGATATTATTCGCTATAATAATTTTTATTGTTTCAGGTATATGGCTGTAGATTTCTCCAATAAACTACTATTGGTACTTATCTTAATTTCGTCTCCAGTTGAAGTAGCCAATCCTAACATATTTCAAGTAAGAAATCAAAAATGTAATTAATTAAATACCTTATTTGAAGGTTCTATATACATAATTGAAACCTAATTTGAAGGTTCTGTATATATCAGCGTCGTTTTTATTGACAAACGTGTAGATACTATGTTGCTATATTGTCGCAAAGAATTGGAAATTACTTAAATAATTCAATACTTATTTTAGCTACGAACTGATTTAGAAGCATTCTAAATTTATTTCCTCAGTTGTTCAATTATACAAAATAAAATTACAGTCAAGTCAAATTCGTTCCTTCATATACAAAAATAACATCTAAAAGAAATATTTTTCTGGCATAAAAGGAAAGTTTTGTGTTCAAATATTATTTTTTCGTTCTATATTCAGAAGTCAATACGTAATGCAAACCTAAAGGCATTTCATCACATAAAGCTTTGTAATCCCATCGGAAATTAAAACATTTTTCTTTTCGAATCAGTGGCAAAGCGTGAAGTAGGAATAAGAAGGCAAAGCAAAAGTCTAACGTGTAGATATCCCATTTTAAATAATTTGAAAATATATTTTAGATATAACATGTCACTCTTAAGTCATCATTTTTGAATGGTTTATGCCTAACATTTTAATTAACAAATAGTAACTGTTACTTTTTCTGACTTAATAATGCTCGTACTTAGAAGCGAATAAGAAGATTTGGACCACACTAGAAAGTAAATTATTTTTTTATTGAAAAAGTTCCTGATTACAAAAAAAAAAGTATAGATGGAAGGAAGGCAATAAGCCTGACTGACTTCTCTGTTATCTAAATATTTCCGTAAAATCACAAAAGTATCTCAGTCCAATGAAATATTAGTTATAAGTACCACATTTTCTCCTGATTCTTTCTTAATCCAAATTAAATGCTACTAAGGGTGAAAGCTTTTTTTACTTAATCTTGAATTTGATTCGGAATTTATATTGATAGATTCATCATATTTTTCAGAGACTGGATACGAAATGAGGATCTATCTATGGGCGACTCGAGTCTCTCGTTCAGAGACGCTAAACAGTTTTTTGGCAGTCTCTCACACTATTTCAGAGTCTATCAGCGTCTCCGAAAGCGTCTCTCACAATCTTTCACAGTCTCTCAGTTATTGCCTAGGCGTTTTTATGGATCTCTCACAGTCTCTGTATGAGAGACTCGAACGATAAAATTGTTAATTCAGAGATTCGAGTCTCTCACAGAGAGACTGAATGAATAAAACTGAAAAATTGAGAGACTCGAGTCTCTCGTAGAAAGACTGGGATCTCTGAAATATGTTGAACTTAGAAAATTTTAACNGCAATCGAGCATAACAAAGGTGCCGCCGGTATCGAAGTTGCAATCCGAAGCCGGTCCTGGGCGTGAGTTGAATGAATCTTGATTAGTCACATTTGATTCGGAATTTATACTTAAATATTCATAATATAATTACAAACTATATTGATAGATTCACCATATTTTAATGAATTTTTTATCACGTCTATTTATTTAAAAAAGACTTAAATTACATTCAAGACTTGTATATATTGAATAGGTAATTTATTTAACACACTTTAATCTTATTCGCAATTAAATTTATCTATAACACACGGCATTCGTATACAACAATGATGCCGCCGGTATTGATCATCCTAATGCATTCTTTCATAAAGGTATGAAATAGGCAAAAATAGTAATTCAGGGTAATTTATTATACAGGGTGTTTCTGAAATAAGTAGCACGCTTTAGAGGGTGAGTAAAACAAAAATTGTAAGAACACCAGACGAAGTTGCAATCCGAAGCCGGTCCTGGGCGTGAATTGCCAATGTATAGAAAAATTACGATAACAACTAAGTAACTACATCGATAAAAAATGTAAGCAATGACTAATACCCTACTACACATAATAATCTTTAAACGCCCATTGCAATAACAATTAATTAAATAACTACTTTGTTAATTGCTACTTTTTAAAGTACACCTCGATATGGTATTAAGACTGGACCTTGACTGTACTTTCAAATACGGTTTTTTCGAAAACGATGAACATTCGGATCAATAAACATTTACTTAATTTTCTTGTTTTTTAGTGCAGAAACACCCTGCATAACGTAATGCTTCAAAAATTTTTCAATAAATAAACTTACTTGTTACAAAAATTTATATCTATTTATACATCTACAACTGGACACAGATTTTAATTGCCGAAACCTATGCATCTTTTGTGGTCATTCACATCCTATCGTTTAGGTAGGCAGGTACCCAAGCTAACAAGGAATGTGTTTTGAGGTTGACCTTAACAAATTAGTGGAATTATTCATTACCGTGTATTGTTTTATCGCTTTCGGTTCCCTAGTATTCCTACATATTGTGCATATTGCGCCAATATTCTTTTTATGTACTTACCCAGTATAGGTAGGTATACAATATTGAGTTGGCTTCCGGCTGATGTATCGTCATATAAGGTTGTAAATCCGAAACTGCTGCGCCAATAAAGTTGCCAAAACGACTGGAGGCTTTCCGACTTATTGGGACACGAAACATGTTTTTGAAATGTAACTACCTGCTCCATTTTGCGTTATATTTTAATCAAATCGATTCTCTTTATTTCCTCGAATATAAAATATATGGAATTACATAAAGTATTATTATTATATTAAACTTCGGAGGGTTGAGACCGATTTGAAGCTAATTTTTAAAATAACCAGATCATATCAAAGGGTTTCTGTACAATGCCTGATGTAATCATATACCTTAGAAAGGATCATTGAAAAATTGTTTGGAGTTGTGAAAATTTTGAAAATTTATGAACAGATTTTAATATCATCATTATGAGGTGGTCTGGTTGAAGACTGGTTGAAAACGCACTACCAGTCTATCCTATCCTAAGCTAATCTTCACATTTCTCTAAAACTAGAACATCCCACATCCCTAACTATTTGCGTATAGTAATCTAATTTAGGTCTACCTCTACCCCTCCTAACTTCCGTTTCTGCCTCTAATATGTCTCTGACTAGACCTTCATGCCTACCAACCTATCTCGCCTATTTCTTATTGACTTCCTTAGAGTCCTCTGTTCTCCTATTCTTTCTAACTTTCTATATCCACGGTATCCTCATCATTCGCCTGTAACACTATATTTCGAACGATTCTAACCTTTTCTTTTCCGCAGCGCCCACCGTCCATGTTTCGCACCCATACAGCGCGGCGCTCCAAATATACGCCATTAACAATCCTTTTCGAATTTTTAAGTTAATCGTTCGCGAACATAAAAGTGACTACTTTTTATTGAAGACAACTCGACCCTGCGCTGTCCTCGGCTTTATATTCCTACTACTCCTTCCGACCTGACTTATCTGACTTCCTAGATACCTAAAACCAGCCACTTCTTCTAATTTTTCGTCTCCTATCTTTATATTCGCTCTTTCCCTACTTTTTCTTCCCTTGCATACCAGTATTTTTGTTTTACTTTTATTTATTTTCATATAATACTATTTTGTCAATACCGCTTCCATTTTGTTTAATGCTATCTCTAACTCCTCCTTGTTAGATGCTAATACTACTATATCATCTGCAAATATAAGCATACTAATCTTTTGCCCTGCATATCTATCCCTACAGTTGTAGTGTGTTTAATAATATTGATCGCGTCTTCGATGTATAGATTAAAAAGTAGCGGTGACAGTGTGCATCCCTGTCTGACTCCCTTCCTAATACCTTCTTCTCTACATTGCAGTACCAGCTCTATAACTGCCTGTTGCTCTTTATACAAACTATTAAGTATCACTCTTCTATCTCCATAATTCATCCCTACATTTTTAAGTATAGTTAACATCTTATCCTATTTAACATTGTCAAAAGCTTTATTTAAATCTACAAATCCTATGTATGCTCTCTTTCCCTTTTTTATCGTTTTCTCTGTTGTTACCCTAGAAAGCTAGAATGTCCTTCCGCGTTCCTCCATTTGTTCTAAACCCAAATTCTCCTAACCGTTCTTCCGCCCTTTTATCCATCCTCCTGTGTACAATTCCAATCATACAATTTTAATGATTATTTATTTATTTGATAGGTTACCTCAAGGGTTTTCCTAATTTTAGAAAAAACATCCCACCTCAAAGGTTGAAAAATTAGAAGACGACAAAATATTAATCAGAGAAAATACAACAACCCCGTTAACTTTTTAACTTAAGTTTGTGCATACAGGCAAATTATTGGCTTTCCTGAATTTTCCGACCCGTTTTTCCTCCGGACTTACCTCCAGGTTAAAAACTAAGGCAATATTGTAATGCACGTAGTCGATAAACTTTCTTTTTTTATTATTAATCTAGCAAATACTTTTCATTCCAAGCTGTCGAACAAATTGACAGTCTCGGGTATATTTTTAAAAATATTAGTACCTACCTGCAACGCCCATATTCCAATCCTCTTTCTTCCCGGTCGACAGATATTAATTAGAAAGGCAACGGTCTTTAAGTAATACAATACATCAAGCCACAGTAATGAGAAAGTAATAAAAACAGATCCATTATACAACGGCGTGCGATGCAGCACAGGGGGCGTCGGACCACCTCTTCTTCCTTGTTTTCTTGGGCACCTGCACCGCATAATCCTTGCGCCTGTAAGAATTAATATTCAGAAAATTCCGAGGAACATCTGTTCTGTAGTCAATCTGTCTATTAATATTACATAAACAACACGCTTGCGGCTTGCTACACATTTTACTCAATCTCTCCCAAATAGGTATGTATACGTACATATAACGCGTCATCTAATTTACTTGTTAAATTCGTAATTTATTGTTGGGGTGCCTTCGTGTATTTGCTTTAAGAATATTTTACATTGAGAGATTACGATTTGTGCAATCTGAACCAAAAAGTAACGTGAACATAAATGTGAAACACTTTGACATTTAATAGGGGTTAATATCAAATATTAATGTGAAAATTCATTTTCAATTTTCTCCCACTATAAACTACCTCAAGTTAATGAGGGAAGGGTGTGAGAGCAGCAACAATTTTTCCCTCATTAACTTGAGGTAGTTTAGGGGAGACCGGGGATGGTTGACTATAAGGGTAGGTAGACTAACTACCGAAAACTCGTCGACAGTGTATGGACTATGTCATCTGATCGCGTTCCGCTCAGTTGTCTGAAGCACCACATCGCGGTCGTGCGTTGTTTTCGAACAGTGACATTTTTTTCATATTTCAATCACATAAGTAATATTTTGATATATTGTATTTTTTGATCTGATGCCTACTCGTTTTATGTAAATCATTTTTCTATTAGTCCTAGCGTTTAATGAGGGCACATTTATCATATTTCATATCTTATTTTTCAAGTCAACGGCGGTGTTTAGGCTAGCCATGCGATCAAAATTAAAAATGGCGTCTGGGGTTGGTAGACCAATTTTTTTCGGGGCTGGTGGAATAATTATTCAAACAACTCCAATGAAATATGTAGTTGAAAACAACACGTAAATTAACTTTTTATTGGACTTTTAAATCGTTACGTGGCCAAATTAAAAGAAAAATTAGAACAGAATCCGAAATTGACGAGAGCAGAATTAACCCTGGACACAGTGGAATATATAAAAAATAGACAAATTTTTACTAATCTAGAAGAGGAAACTTTAGCCAGTTATTTAAAGAAGGCAGCAGATATTTATTATGACTTGACGCCATATGAGACTCGAAAATGAGTTCGCAAAAAAATAAAGTTATGCCTAATTCATGGAGAGAAAAATTGCTAGCTGGTGAAGATTGGTTGGACTCTTTTCTTAAACGTCATCCTTCTCTATCAATCCGATCACCTCAAGCAACAAGCTTATCGAGAGCTACGTCATTTAACAAAAGCAACGTTAATTTATTCTACACTAACTTGACCACTGTTTTCGATAATTTTCTTAAGGACTGTAAGAAATGCTTGTATACCTGATTTAAGTTGCTTATTTTTTAACAAAAGGCTCAATTATATTAAAAAAATGTTTAATTATTTGCTCCTTCTCATGATTTGACTCTTGTTGGTACATGAGTCAACTTACCCCGGGCATATGGTCTACCTACCCCGGGCCAGGGGTAGATTGACTAAGATTTAATATTTTGTAAAATGCATTAAATCATCACTATTATACTAAACTAAGAACTAAATATTACATATTTTTATTAGGTTAATAGATTTTCTATCAATTAACATGCTTTTCTTGTCTATATTCATTAAAACACAAAAAATATGAACTATTCAGTAAAAAACTAGTCAACCATCCCCGGTCTCCCCTACTACACAGCAGTAAACTGCAGTGCCGGTACACGACTCCAACTCATACATGATCAGAATTCGGTTAATTTTATTCACCACTTCAAAACGTTCATACAAATTGCATTTATAATTTATATATGATACACTGAAATAGAATTCCTTTGAGGCGTGTTGTTTATAGGGATGCAAGGTAACAAGGGTCTCAACAATTTCTTTTTCCATTTTGTTGTGCTTACGTTGTGGTAACTTACCTTAATTGTGCCCGTGCTTCTTCCAATTCAGTCCTGGTGATTTCCCAGAAGGTTCGCAGTTTGTCTCTTTCGAGTTGAAAGAAATTCCTTTCTTCCCGTTCTCTTTCATTTTCTTCTNATAAAAATAACTTGAAGACGTTTACAGAAATATTCTGAAAAATACGAGAAAATGTTTTGTTGTTATTTTCAAAAGTAACTAATACAAATTTAGAATAATCTCTTAAATTGAGTTTACAATATGTCAGTCTGAATTAGTTAACAAAACCAAATATGTGTGTCTACATATAGTTAATCGATAATATTCGTACATTATATTTAAATCTGTGACGAATTAATAGAAGAAACAGCGTTTTGCTTTCGTTCGTACAAAAGACTGCCAATATTAATCCGAAACATATGCGTACATGCATATGTATGTAGTAAGTGTTTAAGGAGCTTAACACTATTTACGCTTGCCGGGATCTTCGTTAAGCTGTCTCGCCATATTTCCAAGAACTTACAATAATCTTCAAACAGACTGTGAACAACGCAGATCTTACCATATAACTCTCATTCATTACATCACAAATTGTTGACATACATAATTCTGGATATACATTTTAATTCGTTGATTTTAACCAAAATATTCTTTAAACTAGTTGCCTTATTAGTAGGCTTACAGTACTTTCTGTCGGGTATATAAGTAAAATATTCGTATAATACAGGTTTTAAAAAATTTATGCTTAAAAGTGCCTACTTATTTCAAATTCGTACATACAAAGTGCCTCGAAATTGTTGTTGGAAACATACATATAGGTAACACGTTTATTACTTACGATTATAACTTTGAGATAATATTATATTTTTAAATATGGTCCTACAAAAATGAAATATTTAAATGAAAATATTACGAAAATAGGAAACAATATATACTTAACTATACGACAATTGTCTCAACCAAGTCGGTCATTTTCAAGACGATAAAATGACCAACTATAGATCGAAGCAGTTGTCAAGTAGTTAAACATATTACTAATTCAAACATTCTTTTGGGATGTTTTTCTTCATCAATCGTAAGACATTTTTTCGAGAACACACCTCATCATCATAAGGTCGTCAGTCCTAAGACTGGTTGGACACGTACCTCCACTCTTTCCTATCCTGAGCTAAACTTCGTATTTCCCTAAAACTAGAACAACCCACATCCTTAACTATTTGTGAACGGTAATCTAATTTACGTCTACTTGTACGTCACTTAGTTCCGGTTTGTGCCTCTCATACGTCTCTTACTAACCCTTCATGCCTGAGAAGGTGTCCTACCAACCTATCTCGCCTATTTCTTATAGAACTCCATAGCACCCTCTGTTCTCCTACTCTTTCTAAAACCTCTATCACTGTTCACATTTCGCACCCATACAGCGCTGTGTTCCATACATACACCTTTAATAATCTTTTTCTAATTTATAAATTAACCGTTCGTGAGCATAGAAATGTTATTGCTATTGCTAAACCTGACTGGACCTTGAGCTATTCTCTATTTTAAATCTCTACTGTTCCATCCACCCTAAGTTATCTGACTTCCTAGGTACCGAAAATCAGCCGCTTTTTCTAATTTTTCGTCTCCTATCTTTATATTCACTCTAATGCTATTTTTGTTTTACTTTTATTTATTTTCGTAAAAATACCGATTTGTCAGTATCACTTTCGTTTTATATGAGGCTATTTGTAACTCCTCTTTGCTAGATGCTTATACTGCTGTATCATCTGCAAATCTAAGCATACTAGTCTCTTGTTACTGAATATCTGTCCCTAAAGTTCTCTTGCCTTGAATGTTGTTTATGTAGATTAAAAAGAAAAAATATATTACTTTCTGCAGAGATTTACACCCCGAAGAGAATATTCCCCCGAGTTGAACCACTTTTTAGAACTTTTGCATGACTCCAAAGAAGACTTAAAATGGATTGAAAAGACTGCACGTGATGTTCTTCACGCGAAAGAAAGACGTCATATACAATCTGAAGTATGCTTAATATATTACTAATTATTGAATAATATTCAGTTTCTCCATTAAGGTAGTTCACGTGTGACAATCAAAACTAGATTTTAATAGAAATAGAAAAAGCGTATTTGTAACGAATATAACCGACACTTCAGTTACTAAAATAAACATTTTGTGATAAGATCAGTTAAAAATTTATCACAGATATCCTACTCAGATTTTGTAGAATACTTCAATATCCATATTCGGGGATTTTTTATCTCTTTTTTTATCAGAGATACAAAATTCATTATTCCCCGCACTAAATTTGTTTACTCGATAGTACCTCGCGTTTACAACGTTCGCTTTATCACAGTAGGAGACCAAAAATAGGAAAATGACTAATGAACACTTACATATACATATAACAACTAATTGAGATTACGTTTGAGTGTCTTTTGAACGTGTAAATTTCAAAAATAAATTATATCTACGAACTTATTAGATGCACCCAAAGCTAAAGAAACTATGGATTCCATTTCTTTCTCTTATTACCGTTGTCTTGTACACATTTTAATATAAAATGATTGATGTTGATTTTACATCAATAAAATTATTTGCAACCCTATTTTGGCTCTGATCTTTCACGCTAAACAAACTACTTTGGTATCTGGTGTCTTCTTTCCAATTAAAACGGTGACGAAAGCAAATAAGAAAGCATATAGAAGAATTATTTGTTGTTGAACTGAAGAAACTGTAACAAAAATAGAAAAACTATATCTCAATCACTTCAAACAGAAAAATCACAGCTAAGCCAAACACCACCATTAGTCTAGAAAAATTCCAGTATTTAAAAAATGAGCAAATGCCTTCAAGGTTTTTTTAAAACTTAAGTAAATGTAGAAAATTAAATAGGTAGAGAAGAAAGTATTTTGAAAATACGTATTTTGCATTTAGCATTTAAAATACAAAAAGGAAATTTTATCAGTACCCGAGCACAACTCTGGTTTCAAACTCATTTAGTAAACCTTCTCGTTCCACAGAAAAAGTTTCGGAATGGATACATGTATCCAAGGCAAGATAAGAATAATTTTTACAACGATAAAAGTACACGTTCAGTAAATAACAAGCATATTGTTCCTGCAAGACCTGAAAACGACGCTTTCCCGTACATGTACGCCAAGCAATATTATCGTAAGAAAAGACTTTTTGACAGACGGAGAAAAAGGACTCTTCCAAGACGAATAGAGAGCATATATCGCAGGAGAAATGAATGGGACGATAAACCCCATATTGACTATAACAAGTATCACAATACCCAATTTAGAAGAGACACTAACTACATTGGTGAAGAGAAACCACGTCGTATGAATGTTGACATTTTTCCAAGAAGTCAAGAGGGTGTGCTTAGAAAGCATGACTTTCCAGATGATGAACATGTTAAAAACGATAAACTGATACGTGTGAGTAAGAGTTGTGGTTGTAAAGGGCACAAAAACGGTCCCAAGTGTCAAACATCCAATTGCAAACATAAGACACACGTATCATGCCAGCCTGGATCCAAATGCAAGGAAAATCACAATGCCCACGACCTAATATACGAAGATTATTTAGCAGGACCGGATGTGGCCGATATTGATTTAGACGACGAATTAATAGAAGATTCGCTAGGTGATTTAGAAGTGAATACCGATAGAGAATACAGAAAAAGTAAAGACATATTTAAGTGGTTCAAACATAAAGATCAATCCAAAGTTCAAAACGAAGAAGGCTCAGTAAGTAATTCTGGGTTAGATTCGAATGAAGCAAAGATACAAACAAAAACTTCGAAAAGAGGAAAAGGTAGTGCTGCCTGTGATTTTGAAAAATGTAAAGGCGATTCGGTTAAGTGCGGATGCTCGTCCAAAAAAACGATGGGAAATTCTAAATCAGAATCTAGTTATGGGACATCAAAAGAAAAAATGACCCCTAAAAATCACAATAATGGTAACTATTTTAAACTTATGATAAGAATACGTTGTATTCCCAAATTATATTATAAAATGTAATTACAACTAAATTCCTTTCTAAATTCTATAAAAATTAAAATTTTTGATCGATTAAAAAAAATCAAATGTTCGAAGTAAACCAATAGCAATTTAATCGTTGCTAGTAATTAACATTGGTAACTTTTGTTTTTAATGACATCAAACATATATGCATGTTTTGAATTATATCTTTATAATTTGTTAAAATTAGTGTAGATATAGGGAAAGATATATTACAAATAACCAATCAAGAAGCAAACGTTTTATTTCCAAAGAATTCTTTAAATACTGAACACAAATACTAAAACAAACCATTTTTTGGCCAAACTAGAAAAGAACTTAATTTTTCCTAAAAAGGCGTTTTCCTTTCTTTGGAATATGGTAAAAAGGGATACATTTGATTCCTCATTGTAATAATATACAATATGGTATACATCTTTTTTACTCTGTTACTTACATTTTCTTTGATTATAAACAGATAAAAAAGTAGGAAGTAAACATCGATGTGGAAAAGATTCCAACAGGAGCAAGTACAACAAAAGTGATAAAAAAGGAGCGCAACAAAATAAACGTGAAACAGGACATTTAGAGGAAAATAAGGAAAAACGAAGTAAAATTAAAAAATTACCTGGTAAAGATTTCATTAAGAAATTACGAAGTAAAAGTATTAAAAAAGAAAAATGTAAAACTTCTGACAAAACTGACGACGAAGACATGAACGACAGTAGTACCAAATTTGGCATTGAAAGACTAGTTACTAGAACAGCTCATTCTGAAAGGAGCTGTACTGCGAAAGGTTGCCAGCAAGAACCATCGACAGAAAAAAAAATATTTACAAATGAGCGCAACAATAAAGAAGAAGAAGAAGAAGAAGATATAAATGATGCAAAGACAAAAAAAAGTCATAAAAATTGTAAAGACTGTAAAGAACATAAGCAATCATCTGATTCAAATATCAAAGATAGATTAAAAAGTAAAATATTTCCCAAGAAAAGCAAAAGTTCCAGTAAAATAATTAGTCGCCACTCCGGTCAAGAAGATCTAAATTCCTACAAAGATTTAAAGAAGCTAATCTCGTTGATTTCGGATGCTACCAGTAATAGGCCTCCTAAAGACATTAACAATTTATCCGCGCAAGACACCCGCCATTTACTTAATACGAATGCCATAAAAAAAAAGGTTGATGAACTTATGCAAATTTTAAATGAATCAAAAGGAACCAAAAGGATTTCTATAGATTCGAATGAAAACGATGTAGAGAATCAGCTTAAATCTCCAACAAATATAATAAAAAGAAGATCGCAAAGGGATGATCACGTTGATAAAGAAACCTCCACTTTATTTACTGATAACCCTACTGTCATTGAAAAAGTTATTACGAAAATGTTATCAACAGATAAGACTGATCAGAAACCACAGTACGATGCATCATCCACTCCATCAATTGAAAAGACCTCAGACAATCATATTAATACTCTCGATGAATTACAGGAACCTACATCTGCTGGAGAACAGCGTAATCTTCTCAACGAAAACCCTGTTTTATCAATGCCACAACAAACTACAACAAATGAAAATTTAGACACCACCACAGATAATGTTATACAAATAATAAAACTGAAAAGAAATCCACTAGCAATAGCGGATCAGTTCTTTGGTTCCCAGAAAGAAGGAGCGCCTCATGTCAAAAAAATACTCAAAGAGGAAAACGAACCAGTTATAAATATAAATCAAGATAAATCGGACATTCACAATGAAGACAATGGCATATCAGCATCTTCTTCTGGCAACACCAAGTTGGAACGGAATAATAGATTTGATACTCAAGAACCTTTTCTGGGCAACGATTATTCGGACAATTTGGAAAACTATTACGATTATGAAGCAGACTACGACTCTCGAGCGCAAAGGGAAAAGAGAGATTACAATAAATTTAAGAGCTTCAAAAGTCGTAAGCTTCATTCAGTTCAACCATCGACATTGCAAAAACCGAAAATCTCTGAAGACAATTCAGAAGACTCTTCACATCTCCGCAACAATAACGATTTCATTGAATTCTACGATGATCCTAGTTGGGACATTCCATTAAATAATGCTGATACACGGATCCAGAAAAGATCGGAGGATGACGAATATGAAGAAGCCGATCCTGTAATAGGCGAGAAAGTGAAGTACAACCTTATCAAAAATTCTCAAGTACGCTTCGATAATAAGTTTAACAATGCCCAAAGTGCGGACGAATATTACGCGAAAAAAACAAACAAACATATCATCGATAGTATCAGTGGTAATTCTTTGCATAAAATGAAACAGAGAGAAGATGAAAATGATAACGAAGATATAATAACAATCAAAGAAAATTTCGAGTTTTTCCCCCATGAACAACAGGAAACATCGGAAATTTCCTCCGAACCTACCCCTACAACTTCCGATGTCGTCAGCCTTAACCCTTCCAATAGTAATAATATAATGACACTTCAAGGGAACCTTAGAATTTCTCCCCAAGTACAAGACAAACAATTTCTTGTAAATATTCAACGATCCTCAACATTATCGACGGAACCACCCACAGATCAGAACCTTGATTTTACCCTTCAACCGATCGAATTTTCATCTAACGCATTTCAAAGGGACGTTATAAATCCACCGCTTATGTTACCGAGAGTAACAATTTACCCCCATATGTTACTCCTTGCAACAAAGATTTCTCTTAATCCTATCGGTAAATCCTTAAGAAAAGCGAATGTTTTCCCTGAGCAATCGTCTTCAAGTTCAACAGAATCCAACGGTTATCTCATGTTTACAACTCCACAAATTTCCGACCAAAATTCAAAGTTAAGTTCTTGGCATACCACGAAGAAGTCAACAAAATTTACGAACTTGCTGAAAAATAAATTTAAACACCATAAGGATCCCGTATTAGACATAATCCGCAACAATGAAATTGGACTATCTATTAGTGGTTTAAAACGGGAGAAGAAAACAGTTGCAAAAGGGTTACAATTCAATGAGGTGGAAAACTCAGCTCAAAATACTGATAAACACAGATTAAAACGTACAGTAACAAGTATCTCACCATCGGTAACGACAACTCCCCTTTCTGAATCAACTATAACTTACCCCAAAAAAATTACTTCCCAGCTTAAAAGCACTACCTACGTGTATCTTAGTCCGAAATACATAGAAGCAAATGAAAACGAGGATTATTTAGCAGATTACTCTAATTCAGATGATCAAAACCTCAACCGAAATTTAAGATGCATACATTTTTTTAATTCCGCAAAAAAGCCGACCGACTATAAAAAAAATTTCGTCAATCAAAAATCTCATTGCTCCAAACATAATCGTCTTCAAAAACTTCATCTCAAAAATAAAGAAAATGAGAAACTTAGAAAGGATGGTCAACAAGTCAGATATGAAGAAGACAATGACTTACCATACTCCACAATAAAAAAATATAATGAAGATACTCCCACTGAAGAGAAGTATAAAGATATACAAGTACCCATCGAAAGAAATGTACTTCTCAATTTCTTGCCACTCAAAGATAATACATTTCTTCAAAACCATGAACTTCCTATCGATGATTCAAATTCATACACGTCGCTCGATAAACCTTCAGGAATTCCCTTTGATCGCCGTGAATATCAGATAGTGAAACCTTCTGGCGAAGGCTTTCCCTTTAATAAAATCGTGAATCCTAAGCAACACAGTCTGCCTAAAATGAGCAATTTTAATCCTTTCGATACAATTTTTAAAAATGGTAAATATCACTTGGGCCCTGCTGAAATAGAACCAGAAGTGAAATATGGAAACGATGTTAGTCCATTTAAAAAGGTTACTTCCGACTTCAAAAGTAACAAACAGGGTTCCAATCCACAACTGGTTTATGACGGAGAACAAATACGAAAAAGCTTCCATCCTTTTGACAGTATCAGAAATATTCCTCAATACGAACTGCGCTCTCTGGATGATCCACAAAGCTATAATCAGCAAATCCAGTTTCCACCAATGTTACAAGATCATTTTCCTTTTAATTTGTTAGATAATATCCGTGAAATACCAACAAAAAATGTACCTTCTTCCGCTTCAAAAAGCGAAACACAATCTTCTGCCGACTCTCAAGCAATTCCAAACCAAGTAAACTATGATTTTCCTGACAGTACTCCAGTTCTTTACTTTCCTTTTCCATCAAACAACGACTTCAGCGGTAACAAACAAGAAATAAAGACAGTGAAAACAAGCCACAAAGGAGGAGGTGGAATTCATCCAGTCGAAAAGAACTTTAAAAGCCGATATTACTACAACACAATGCCAACAAATCTTGATAACAGTGCTGTCGAAGTACCGAACCTAATACCTTCAGTTAATGAAAATAAGGAAGCAGCGTTAACACCGCAAACGATAAGCGATAGCAACGTCAAGCACAGCTCTCAAGTTCGTGATAACTCATTCGAATTCAGTACAGCGAGCAATGACGAATGGCTGAAGGATATTCAAAAAAGATTGCAAGGCTCCACATTAAGCATTTGCCTAAGTTTATCTTCATTTGATGGGACTACACCGACTTCATCAGGGGGAGCTATCAAGCGATTTGAATCTCAAGTCACCCATACTCCATATGAACAATCCAAATTAGAAGGCAATATTATTCAAGCAAAAGAGTTACAGATAGACTTGCTCAACAACCACATATTTGATAGAAAACCCAGTAAATTTACCCCAAAATCCTTAATATCGAGTGATTTCACTCCAAAAACCACTTCTGAAAGCATCCCTTTTGGAACCACGCATTCAGCTACCACCAAAAATAGAATAGCAAACGAAAAAGTGTTAAATTCAAAACCAGAAAAAAATAGAGATTATATTGACGACTACGATGCTTACGACGACATGTTTGAAACAGAGGAAAGATCTGGAAAGCTTGTACGGGATGCTAATGGAGAAAGACGTCGTCTGTCTTTTACAAACTCAAAATACACACTCCCAGTACAAAGGGATTTTTATCAACGAATTCGGAAGAGGTCGAGACCCAAGCAACGACTGCGTATACATCCAACTAACAGAAGAATTCGAAGAGCTACCAATCTGTTACCCAATTATTTAAGGAATATAGAAAAATATAAAAATGGACAAATTATTCGCGAAGATTCTCATCAGTTTTTCGGCAACCGAAGAGATACGATTACCGAGACACCATACGACCTGCAGCTGCAACCTAGCAAAAATGTACGAAGAAGAGATTCTATTAATATAGCGACAAGTGTGAGTAATATACATTCTCAATATCTAGAGACAAATTTTGTGAACACAAAAAAACTGCAAATAATTATTGTAACAATAAATAAAACTACTTATTGAAGGATGAAGCCACCAACGACAAACTTGCCTTGGCAATCAGAGAAAGCATTGCTGACCTTTCAAACAAACAATGGTCTCATTTATTAGACAAAGACTCGCCTGCAGACGCTTTAGGAAAGCAAGTGAGTAATACTAAATACTCATATTTAGGTATAGATTCACTCTTTAGAGAATGTGATTCCCAAAACCTGAAACATCGGATAATTGGATGCACATTATGAATACTCTACAATTTAATTTCGTTGACATGATTCAAAAAGTATTATAAATTCACTCACGACAATAAATAATGAAATTAAGTTTTAAAATTCTTAATGTTGCGAGTATTTTAATATGTCCTTGGACCGCCCTATGCGCAATGGACAGACCTTACTGCATTCGTTTTAGTCACATATCTTTTCAAGTATGTTTCTTCAAGTGACTTTGACTCACATCAATTATAAATGCGTTAGGTTTTATTGATAATGAGTATTTTTACTTCCTCCACTTCCCTTGAAGCGCAACCTCTTACTAATAACCGAAGTTTCAATTCAAATAGAACCTTCTATAAAAAAGTTGTAGAGATAGGAGATTTAATAGGATTTAATAATGAAGGGGTTTTTATTCATCGAAATTCTCTTTGGTTTGGTTCGACAGCTCAAAATATCACGACTTTCTAAATATTAGCAATAGTTTTGTTAGAAAAATGGATACTACTAGAAACATTTTATAAATTAAATATCCACCTAGATTCCTCAGCATAAAAAAAACTATTATCACTCAGCCCCTTTTAAAGTACATTACCCAGATTTTTAATGGGTGCCTATGCAAAAAGTCAAACATACACGATTCAAAAAAATAATCAATGGAAAACTATAAGATTTCTGCGAGCCAATGGTCTATGATCGTTCTATTTAGTTAGATAATGAGGAAGGTTTCTTACGTAAACCGGTTAGGTGATATTGTCACCTCAAGCAGTTTCAACATTGAGTCGACTATTAACCATATAATCAATTACGATTAGACTGTCACATGTCCATTGGTTTTAGTGACAAGTAGAAAGCAATGAACAGGTGGCTTTTGTCAAACCAAGGTCAAGGTCATGGTCCACGGGATTTTTAACTACCTCTACCATTAGTTTTTCAATATTTTACGGTGAAGTAACAGCAGCAATTGTAGGTCGTCCTGTAGGGGGTTAAAATGTCTTGTTTCGCACTTTCAATTACATACATTAGCAATTTTAAATTTAAAACTCATAATAGTTTTCGAGTTACTGCAAAAAATTAAATTAATTTCTAGAATTTAAAATATTATTATCAAGTATCAATGTCAAACATAAAAACAACTTTTTTATACTAAAACTGTAACAGCAGACTGTTAAATTTCGTCAGGTTTATCGAGACAATGCAGGTGTTTCGATAGAAGTAACGATAGACGACTCCATCTTAAAGTTGCTTCAACAGCTCAAAGAAATCATGTTAAAAGAAATAGAAAGAGAGTCTTGTCTACAATTAACTCCAGATCAAAGATCTTACTTGCAAGCCATCACGAGCGAATCTCAAACTCACGATCTTTATTTTAAACGGGAATCCCCGTCAAAGTTTTCTCACGAAACAGAGCCGGGATATTTCATGTTCAAAGGCAACAAAAAGAAACGTCTGTTTTATGACGACGATAACAGAGCCTTGCAAAACTCTGAATTATCAAAAGAGATTGATTACGAGAAAACAAAACGAGACATCAAAATAAAGTACAAGAAAATCAAAAGACTACTAAACGAATACGAAAGACTGGACGAAGACAGTAAAACAAAAGTTGCACCAGTTGAAAACTATCTTAAAAGAAACATGCGGATTCTAAGAAGTTTATACAAAAACGTACTGATTGATGAAAATAAACCGGAGTCGTTCAGTTCACGTAAGAGGCACTACATGTATGATTCAAACCAAATCACCGTTAATCCCTATTCAACAATGCCCTACGAAATTATCAAAAAGGAAACCCATCGCATAAAATCCCCTAGCAAAGAAGAACGCCACAGGCATAACAAAATTACAAAAATTAAGATTGAAAAGAAAAGAGAGCCCGCGCCTTATTCATCTTCTGCGGTAAGCCATTAATCTCGGCATATTCTAGCTCCTTTACTTTACTTTTTTTAGAAAGAATAATCACAATGCTGAAAAGTCGGTTTCTGTAAAAGAAAATAGAAAATTTATTCAGCAGGAATCGGGAAACGATATGAAAAGAGATAAGCGTAATTTAGAAACTAATGCAAACTCTACTGCAAATTCTTTGAAGAAAACTGTTGGCGATGCAGTGCATAATTTGTTGGACAAAACATTTAAAAAGCACCAAAATGAATCGACTAACTGTGTAAGCACCACAGCTGCTGTCAGCGTTACTCCAGAGACAACTCTTGCAACTTCGAGTTCATCACCGACACAAAATACAGCAGTTCACGAGAGAACTGTGTCAGATGAATATAAACAATTAATCGAAGCTGTTAAACAAAGTCATATTAAAAGACAGAGTGACGAAAGGCTTGGTATGTTGTTCGGAAACGCTGTGGAAGCAGACTCTCGATCCACCGAAGATAATTCTAACGCAGGATTCGAAGTGCCGATAATTTACAATTAAGCTTAGATACATAATTAAATAATTATTACGTGCTATTATATAATATATTATTTTATAGGTTTATACATATATATACCTTATTTTTTAACATAATTTATGATTTAATTATACTATTAATTTCTTATAAGTAAATGGCATTTTCGAAATTCCTTTTGAAGGGAGGACCAAATGGATAGCCTATCTCGTCTTTGAACGGTGTGGGACGTCGATTTGTGACATTTTCAGGANAAAGTAGTATAACGTAAATGAAAGTTAGTATCAGCAATTTCTTGTGCTGAAGTGTACGATGTGTTGCATACCTATTTACAAACAATTACTTTAATTTAATTTTTCAAACAATTTTTAACACAAAGAAAGTGATTAAACAAATTGTTCACAAAAGTGAATTTCGACCACTCGAAGCACTGGTGCTAACAGTTACAAGCTCACAGTGACTGATAGGGGGGAAGAACTTGTTCCATTAATAGATCAATAACGTGGCCAAAGCAAAAGTAAAAGTTTGTGGGATGTTTTTTTTTTTACTTATAAATATTAAATATTATTTGATACATATTTAACAAAATGAAATATTTATTTTATTTTCTGAAAATTTCATATTTTTTTTCAGAAATAAATTTAAGCGATCGTTGAAGATCTTTCTTCAACGTTCTTCTTTGCCCTTGAACACTTAATTTTTTATGAACGTATCCATACAAAAATACTAATTCCACATTGACTTAAAATAACAGTTAGATATTCTGCTTAGTTTTAATTATTTCACTTCTTCACTAGTTGCTGTTGGTAATTGTTATGCAAAACAATTAAATTTATCCTTTCAACTGTTACCAATAAATCAGGGCAGGGTAATTGCTAGATGCAACATCAATTTTATTGGAGGTGTGCAATTGTGTAACGTTGTCACTGAGATAAAGAACACAACAAGAAATACATTTACTTTTACTTTATTTCGAAGGCAATGATATGAAATGAAAATATTTACATCATTTAATATTAAAAGCACCCATCTGTAAATATAACTCTTCGAAGAACTAGAATAATTAAGAGAAAATGTTATTATTTCGTTTGGATGGGAATTAAAGCATAGGATTAAGTACCACATGCATCAATTATTTGGACGAGAGTTGAGGGGCACCCGAAATTTCCGCCGGTAGAGTCACTGTCATTGTTACTATTTACTGTATTTACTAATCATTATTATAATATGTTATATGCTTTTATTATAAGTATGTCCTAGAAGGAGGCGAATAAAACATATCCTAAGAAGAGGTACATGTTAGCAATGCAACGGAAATGTCATAACAAAATAGAAGCGGAAACAGTAGTAAATTTTTGCGGAAGCGGATACAAAAGCAAAAGTGTAATAATTTTAGGTGACTTTTTAATGTAGTGGTCGTACGCCCTTTTCACGAATATTTTGTTACTGAACTTCATTTTGGATTTAAAGTTGCATTTTTAACTTAAAATTTACACCACTGAGCAAAGTATCAAAATAAATAAACGCTATAACTGTATTAGTATTTTTGAAACAAGGAGTACTGGTTGAGGAGAAGCTGAAAGTCCTGGATGTTTTAGGTAAAAGTAAGAAACTAATAAGAGAATAAAATTTGGAAAATACCTACATACAAAATACTAGGAAATAAATTTAAGCCCCAAACTGTAATAAAGTTCTTTGAACAAAAACAATATTATTATTAACAAGATTTTGCCGGTTATAACGCTGAATTGACGCTAATACTTTTATTGTTCCGATGTATTGATTTTCAAAAGGATGACAATTAAGATTTTGTTAAGTTCCGATAAGTTTCCGTTATAAAAATGCGGAACTAGATGTGTAAATATATGCGGAACTTCCGTACATGCGGAAGCGGAAGCAGAGGTCTGTTGCAACACTACTACAGGTACATATTTCCGTTAATGCAGGTAAAAAAATTAAAAAAGAGATATTGTATTGGATGGATATCGAACGTAGATCATGTTGAACCAAAGCAATTATATTCGAGGGAATATAAACTATAAAATTAACGTAGATATACAAGTAAATATTGTAAACTCAATTCAGTAATAAATATACAAAACACTCAAAAATGTAACTAATAACTTAATACAGTAGAACCTTGATAACTTAAACCTCTATAACTTCATAAAATTCTGTGTTCCCTTCCCTTCGGACTCCAAAACCTCTATTACTTAAAATAAAAACCCGACATAACTTAAACGAATAATTTGAGCATCGCACCTCAGTAAGCAGTGAAAAGTGGTTTGAATCGGGAGAAAGTCTTCTATGTAAAGACGAAGAATTGCTGAATTTCCTAATTTAGAGAAATGCTTGTTTACATGGTTTAGACAGTGTAGAAATACGTAAAAACATTGGTATTAGTGAACCTATACTAAAGAAAAAAGTTGAAGAGTTTGCTAAGTCACACTAAATCCATGATTTTAAAACTTAAACTTTAACTTAAGCCCTTAGTAAGTAAAAACCTCAATAACCCAAATTATTTTACGTATCCCTTGGTCTTTATCTTATCGAGGTTCTACTGTACATTGATACATATATCGACATTTTTGATTAAATAAATTATATACCATCTGTAGAACTTTTCAATTTGTCGTCCAATCTAATGCTATTTCGAAATGTCGAAATCTTTTTGAGCAGTTCTAGTAAACCGAAACACAAAAGTGATTTAAGCCTCCTCGCAGAAAACAATACAACTATTCGTTCCCAACAGATTTTGACTGTTCGTGATGCAATTATAGACCATCTGCGCGGAAAATGATTAATGTTTTCCTGTCTGACAGAAGTAGATACTTCGCATTTGCTACCTTTTTGTTTCTTTTAAAAACCATTAAAAACTTTCGAAACCGATATAACGCACACATTTCTACCCAATAATAAATAAATAATCGATACGTTAAAAATCCCTTTGTATTTTTTAAACATCATCATCATAAGGTCGTCAGTCCTACGGCTGGTTGGACACGCACCTCCACTCTTTTCTATCCTGGCCTAATCTTCGCATTTCCCTAAAGCTAGAGCAACCCATTCTACATAATAGAATTACTGTTCGTTTCAAGAAGTTAGAGATATGCCCCATCCCTTTATAAGGATGCGCGGTAGCATAATTCCAAATTCAATCATATTTGTCTGCGGAGCTCATTTCTCCACCGATCGTCGAACGAGAACTAGACAAAAGTGTACAGTACCATTTGCAAAATTATTTAAACTGCCTCGTTAAAATTTAAGAATATGCTTTATTTAAAAGCATATTTAGCCAAAAATAATAACAAGTGAATTAACTTAACGTTCTACACACCTATAAAACTTTTGCTTTGTTTTCTATTGTTAATTTATATACATTTTTGTTTTAAGAAATTGCTAAACATTTTCGTCTAGTACTGTACAGTTCTAGCCGATCTCCTAAGACCGCCCATCGAGAGCTCTGCTCGTTCAAGCTTGTTTCAACTATTTCTGTCTTGCTCACGCCTAGTGTGTATTCTTTCTATCTTCGCGCAGATTTCTTCAAGGTCACAATTCTAACAAATTGAAATAGACTGTAGATATTAAAAGGTAGGGGAGACAGTTTTTTATAAATGATAATTTTTCAAAATTCAAATCACAATTCTAAACTGTAAGTACTGGAAGAGATGGGTGAGGAATTTAGGGGCGGAAGGGAGGGGGTGTTAAAAGTTATACAAGCATTGAATCTCTTTATCTCACCATTGCTACTGCATAAAATTCTTTTATTAATACTAACAGAAGAAATAGCTATGCATACACCATATATCCTTTGACGTTTACTATAATAAAAAAAAAATGTGTCTCTCCTCTTCAAATATAATCATTGAACCCTCAGAAATTACCAGAAATAAATCGATGAAATTTTTGGAGCGATTTTGGTCTGGAGTCCCAATTCTAGGAATTGTATGAAATTCCGATATTGTACTAGGAAATGTGTAAAACTAATGCTTTCTGTGAATAACATATTCTAACATTCTGCGGACAGGGGCATTGAATAAACTCCAGTCTGCCATAAATCTACCTATCCAAATATAGATGTCACCAATGCAAATAATTATCCAGACTTGGGGTAATTTTGAAAAATTACCATTCAAAAAATTTTTTTTTTTATTTATCAAGTTATAAAACCTTCTAATATCTAATTCGAATACGTAGAATGACTAGAAATTGATGAAAAAAATTTTGGAGCGATTTTGGTCTGGAACCCCAATTCTGGATAATTACCTTATATTCTACATAGCCGAAATTTATCGTGTGGAATAAAGTAAATAACCCTGTATATACATAAATATTTCGTATTTATAGAAAAATCTTTTGTATTTCTATAACACAGAATATTGAAGAAAATTATATCCTGATATTTTTTCTCTTATTCCTTTGAAGTAGCGAGTCTAAAAATGAAAAGAGATAAACCGTTGCAGGGACCGCCGCATATTTAAATCTTGAAACAAAATCCTGCGCTTCTACGGCATTTCCTTTTAGCTGAAAATAACACCCATTCAAGTCTAGTACTCGCGAACTGAGCGGCGCTATCTGCGGCCAAGACAATGAACGGGAAATGAAAGTGTCGCTATCTGGCGGCTCACAGAAACATTCAAAACTACCCTTAGAAATGGCATTACCTATGTTTCGAAACGGGACTTCGTTAATGCAGCAAACTCCGAATCATTGTTTCACTTACCAGTTTGCCACATGCCTAGCGAATACTATCGCAGAACAGACGAATGAATGATATCGCAGAGAAATTCCGGATTCATTGTTGACAACGCAGCAAACTCGATGAATTAAAAAAAAAGTTGCTTATTGTATGAAGTGTCTGTTACTGGCTGTTCAAACTGTTTAACACATGGGGGACTCTGCACAAGATGCATTGAAGGGAATCTATTCAATCATTGACACCCACGCAACGTCAGTCTACGTACAATAAGTAATAACTACACAGTGAACACCTACGTAAGACCACACAGTAATTAAAAAACAAAAAATATTCACAAACAATTCTGAAACAAAACTAATCGACTGTGTTTATTTATCA